AACATACTAACCGGACAAAGCATTAACTAAATAAATAAATAAATGGTATATTCTCGGTAAAACGACACAACTGTAAAGGCGTTATCTTGCACGGATACAATTTTTCCGAGGATTGAACCATTGGGTTCAGTTTGCTTAACACTATCTCTTGCATAGTGCGCTCCTTTTGACTTCGGAAGGCACATTCTCCTGCCGATACAAAGACAGAACAATTGGGCATCCTGTGCGCTTCAATCTGCTTTGACCGCTGAATTGGCCGTGGCTTCCTATATTTCCAATCAATTTTACAGCATACCCCAGGCGAGTTTGCAAGTTGTTTTCGGAACCAAATCCTATCCTTCAAAACTTCAACAACAATTCAACATATTTCAATGTCTATCCATAGGAGACTTCACGTGGTTTTACAGATTATCAACACATCATAAACAAAGAATATTTAGTTTCTGGCCTACCAATCGGGGGGCCGGCATTCGTCAACAACAGGACCAGACCCAGGAACGCAATGAGCACTCGCCTAACGCAGCTGCCCGGTAGTCGCAGACCCAGCAGGGTACTTTAAAGATGGTGAAGTTGGTTGATTGGTCGGACTGAAATGAAACAATTGACCTCTAGACTCTGTCATTCTAACCTGGTGTACCTTTAAAATTGTGTTTTAGTGTGCTAAAAAGCTATTAACTGCTTGCCGCCGATTCGCATGCTCGTAAATACAGTTAACGGGACCAGGACTCTCACATCTGGCGGGAACAGGTTTGCAGGCCAAGATCAACCGGCACAGCCGGGAGTATAATGTTAGCGTAGGATACTGATATGTAGTTAAATAATTTGTAACTACTATAAATAAACCAGTAGCGGATGTATAAAGGAATCGGGGTCCTGTAGCTTTTATAGTACCATAGTTTACTGTAAACTTGGTAGCAGGTGCCCGGAGTTTCCAATTGCATAAATGGGTCTAAATTGGACCTATGTTATTAAATAAGTAAATTGTGCACTCGGTTAGTCAGAAAATGAAAAATAGCCACTTTAATGGAGTATTTAAAGAGTGATACACTTAAATAGAAGGGAAAAGGAATATTTTTCTTACATGATCCTACATGATTTCTTTATTGGGAAACGACTGGACAGAATGGTTAGCGTACCCCGAGAAATAGGTGGACAAGAACGGAAATGGCTGTGAGAATAATATGTAAATAACGGGGTAAACGGATGTGGCTTGAATAAGCAAATAACTATGCGATATGCCCAAACATATTTACAAATGGGACTTGTTACGGAATGTGGATTTACAAAGTAAAAGTAACGCGAAAGCGTCAGTTGCATATACGAATGCTTGGGAAGCAGTAAGTTAAGTGATCTAAGGTGAGGGTGCAGTGAAATTGCATCTTGGCCCTGGTCAACATGTGGTGGCTAAACGCCCCCAACGGCGGAATGAGCTTTCAGAGGGTACACAACTGGTTGATAAAATTTATATATATATATATATACATAAAGTTGCAAAATTAGAATGCATATGTTTGTAATTAAATATGTTACAGAAGAGTAGTAGGGGGAGTTGAATGGTAAAGGTAGAACGTCGTCACATCGGGGCTTACTCAGACAGCCGCCACGAGCCCGGAAAAGCACTGTACGCGCGTTTCATCCTTTCGGGAATCATCAGCAGTGCGCATTCCATCGGAACCTTGGTAGGGCTCTAAACCGCAACTCCACTGCTGCAAGTCCGTGGTTGAGACCACTGAGCTACGGAGGACGGCGACGACCATGGTGAATAAGTTACTAGATGTGATATAGCGCCACTCACTATCCACTGACGTACAGTGCTTTTCCGGGCTTGTGGCGGCTGTCTGATTGAGCCTAGATGTGACGAAATTAAATATGTGCAGGTACTTTCAAACTGCGCTATGTAACTAAAAATGTACGCGTTATTGAACTGAATCCCATAGGTCTATATTTATGGATATAGTTTAGTAAGGCGTACATTTATGTGTACATAATGCTGTCAGAAAGGGAATGCATATAGTTAATTATAAAAATATATGCATTCCTAATTTTGCAACTTTAACATGATTAGCAATGGTATTGCGCCTCCAATCTATCCATGCTTATATGTTTATGTAGAAAGACATTTGTACGCGTGTTGCGGTAACACTGATCATCCGTTCTATGCCATTTAAGGGGGCGGCACGTTATTAGTCTCCGCTAGGATTACCCAATGCGATCCCCGCAACTGGACGTCAGTGGATCAAGTAAACATTTTTTCATTACAGAGATATAAATGACCATATCCGTACGTAAATGAGTAGATAATTAAGTGTGCGCCTGTCACTTTTTATGGAGTTTAACCGGTATCTGTAATGGTGCATATCAAGGTGTCAGGAGTATAGTAAGTAGGTTACGCATTTTAGTAATGAGCTAATACCGTTTTATGAACAAAACTAAGGGAAATTTACCACACCCAGTACATGCGGACGTTATAGGAAGCATAGGGAATAATCGGATGGCAAAAGAAAAAAGGAAAAATCAATGAATTTTTTGCGCTGCTTTCAGACAAGAAGTCCACATATATACGCAAGATTATAGGTAGGTTTGTGCCCCATGCTTTCATGATGCTCCTTCACCGCAGTTGGGCTAAACCAATTTACACGTAAACTAGGTGTTTTTAATGTGAATGCAATTCATTACCTTTCATTTTCTTTTTGTTCCGCCTACTTGATAATCGTCTCCCGAATTACACATGTCGCTCACGCTAATTGTGGTAAACTTGCGTAATTTTATTGCACGGTATTTTTTAAAAAAACTTTCGGACATTTTGTACTTATCGCGTATTCACCTTTGGCCGAAGTCTTCCATATGTTCATTTAGCGAGTATTTATGTCGTCATATGCATTTAGTTTTTTCGATATCAGCATTTCGAATGACTGGCTGTTGGTTGACATCCCAGGTGTGGCTGCGCTTGATGTGCATGTTGACGAGGTGCCTACCTGTCTATTACCCATTACCTCGTCCATCTGGCTCCAGGAGACAGTGGGTCGTTGCTGGAGGGGATTGGGTGCACGGTCCTTGTGGTCGTGCTAGGCTCGAAGAGTGGTTCAATGCACTCAGTGTAGTGCGGACTACGGTCCAGCCACCGCCAAGTGTGCGGTTGATTCCCCAAATACAACGTGCTTGTGTTTGCATATGGTGGAGTGTGAACCGGCTCCCTTGGTGGAACGTGGCACCCATCCACATGCCTCCAGGTCTTATTCTTCCGGGTTTACACTGGATTTGGGATGTGTGGATGGAACTGTGGGTGGTGCAGCGCAAGCCATCCATGGTCCCTCTGTAAGCGCAGGCGTCCTGTGACTGGTCACAGTGACAGGGAAATCCGAAACCGGATGCCGCCAACCATAGGTAGGTTTACGTTCCTGCTAACGCGACTGGTACATAGTAAGCCCATATGATTGCTTCATGGGTGGCATTTGTTTGTTCACTGAACCGCCCTCCAGTTTTGGCCGCGATTGGTTGCACGAGCAACGCATGGAAAAGTATCGTGGGTTCCATAGCAGCAGTGTCATAAAGATAAGTAAACAGGTAGGTATTTTTGGCTTCACTGCGGTAAAGGAACAGCGCTTAGTAAGTCTACGTAGGTTCCACAGAGAAGCCTAATTGTGGCC